GCACTTTACACAGAGTGGGTGGGGGGAGAGACGGAGGGGTGGAGGAATATGGGAGAAAGTGAAAAATAGCAGAAGTGAGGGACTAAGACGGTGCCTGAGTTGGGAGAATAATCCGACCCTGAGGGTCATCCCAGGTGGGAATGAACAACACCCTCAGCCGGGCGGGGGAACACCAGCTCCAGACGCTCAGTGACACATCAGCAGAGAGAGCAGGGGAAGCTTCTCCAACAGAGCCTGCACACCCCGCAGCTGAGATTTCTGTCTTTTCCTTCCATCCGCCTCCCCCACCCACCCATTTCCACAAACTCCAGAACATCATGCTTAGAGAACTAAAGTATAAATTTCTTAAAAAGCAAAGGACTGGACCCAGGTGAGAATCAAAGTGCTGACATCAGAAGAGAGATGGAGGTCATCTCAGTGACTGCACACGGAAAAGACACCAATGTTAAAGCAGAGAAGATAACAGATCCGGCCCGTGAAGGGTGAGAATCCAACAGAAGCACAATTGGTGTCCTTGAAGCAGAGGATTGACAAGAGGACCAGAAGATGTCCTGAGAGATACATATGAAAAATTTCCCAGGCAGAGCTGAATCTGCAGGTTAAAAGCACACTCCACATTCCTGGAGATTTTGACACTGAAAGCTCTTTGTCAAGGCATAGCCTGGAGAAGCTGTTGAACTTGAGGCTTAAACAAAGAAATCTCCAGGCATCCAGAAAAACACAAATCAACTACAAGAGAGACAAATTAGACCGGCCTCAGAATTGTTCACAACAGTCAGAGCCTGAGAACATTGGAGTGATGTCTACCAAGTTCTGAAAGAACGCGCAGCCTGAGATCATTCCACCCCAGCAAGGTGTCATTCAAACGTAAAGGTAACAGACAGACATCTTTAGGCAGTGCTGTGAATCTTCTTAAAAAGTTATTTTACAATAATAACTTAACCCACTGATAGATGACTCATGATTTAAAAGCATCAGGACTCGGGAAGCTTTGATGAAAGATTGGTAAGTGAATATGGAATCCATTTAAATGTAGAGCTAAAACTGAATAATTATGATGCCACATAACTAGAGAGCAGTGTATGTGTTAGAAATATGGGAAGTGTTAAAATAATCATATAACTTTCAAAATTCAGAGGGGGTCAGATGGAAGAAGCCAAACCTCTTTCATCTTTCAGAGAAAGGAATCAATTAGTATTGTCTGAAACTGAAACATAAAGTACTAAAGGTAAATAGTAACCCCTTCTTTTTTCTTCATGATCACTCTTTCTTTAATCCTAGAGGGATGTTTGGGAAACAGCCCTCTGCTGGTGAAGAAACTTTTAAGTGACAGTGATTCTTTGAGTTTCATGTCCATGTCTTTTGTTGAATGCAGCTAAAATTCAAAACAGCTTCTGTTGCACGACCCCAAGTTTATAAAGCAGTTTCGCTTACGAACCGTCTGTGCTGTCAATATGAACAGAGAATATTCAGATCACGTTCTTATTTGTGCGTGATGGGCTTTGGGGTAAGACTAAAGTGAACACACTTTTCACCTCTTCGTGTTTAAGACTCTGAATTCTTTATGATAAGCATTTTTTAAAATACAGAAACAGTGTATTTTGTTTTATTATATAATTTATTACAGTAGAAAGGCTGGAGGGAAATCGCCAAGTCCCTTCTGGGGGTGTGTGAATGTGCATGACACTCAGTGGTGCAGCCCCACCTGGAGGAAAGGTCCAGATTTCGGAGTTACGGGTGGGGTTTCTGAGCTTCCTCGCGTCGTGGCCCCTGCTCGCTTTGCAAGCCTCAACTTTCTCATTCCCTCCCTGTCAAGGTCAAGTCCTCCGTGCTCCAGCCTCACCGAGATTTCCTGGCCAGTTTGCCCGCTTTCATTTCTGGGCCTTTGCATTTCTGTTTGCTCTGCTTGCATCACTCTCTGCCCATTTTCTCTGAAGCTCTGCCAGGCTCCTTTTCCTGGGTAAGGCCTACTCATGTTTTGGAAAGAAATTTTTATTTCTTTTTTGCTGTGGTAAAATATATATAACATAGAATTTACCATTTTAACCATTCTTAAGCGTACAAGTCGGGGCATTAAGTGCATTCATGATGTTGTGCAGCCATCCCCACTATCCATCTCCAGAGCTCCTTTCATCTTCCCAAACAAACTCTGTCCCCGTGTCCCCATCCTTGCCTTCCCCCAGCCTCTGGTCACTTCTGTTCTACTTTCCATCTCTATGATGCCTATTCAAGGTACTTCGTATAAGTGGAATCATACAATATTTGTCCTCTTGTGGCCTCTTATTTCACTTAGAATAGTGTCTTCAAGGCTCATCCGTGTTGTAGCATGTGTCAGAATTTCCATCCTTTTTAAAGCTGAATAATATTCCATTGTCTGACGATACCACATTTTGCTTTTCTATTCATCCGTTTGGGTAGTTGCCACCTTTTGGGTACTGTGAATGATGCTGCTGTGAACACTGATGTGCAAATCCTTCTCATTTTTATGGATTCCACTTGGACATTATTTCTCCCCGTGGGTATGGCAGCTGGGATGCTGGGGGTCCGGCCTCGTGGTCTGGGAGCGGTTGGTGGTGCTGAGCATGCGCAAAGGCACGCAGGGAGGAGGGGGTCTAGGGCGATGCGGCGGGAAGGGCGCAGGGGCAGTACTATTCGGCGTGCGCAAGGTCTCCCAGAATCCAAAGCGGCTGGGACCCTTATTCCCCATCTCCATCCTCTCGCCCGGTTTCCATTTCTACTTTAACTCCACTTACTGCAGTCTTTCCACTGTATTGTGTTCTCGGTATTTAAGTGGTTCTGGTTTTGGTCTTTGGCAAGAAGTAAGGAGACCATTCCGAGCCACGAGTGTTCTGATTTAGTTCAGCTGATGTGAGCAACCCAGGCGTCAATAGGAAAAAGTGAAAAATTAAAATAATGAAAACTCCCCCGGTGGTTCCGGCATGCAGCCAGGGTTGGCACCCAGCAGTGTATCCCTGCCATGTTCTTTTTGTTTTGAGCACAGCAATCGTGTACTTTCTATTTCCGTTCAACCCCAGTTCATTCCAGACCTTTCTAACACCATTCTCAGAGGTGTCTGACGCTTACTAGATTTCTCCTTGATTTACATAGCCAAACACCCAGTTCTGCTCATGCTGTTTAAATTATGATGGGAGAGCTGACTTGTGGCCACAATGATCTCTTCAGTGTCTTTTTTCCTTCCTCATCAGGATAATCTGTGACTACATAGTGATTTACTTGTGAGAGATCTGCACGCAGAATCTTCCTATTTTTTTCCTCCTTTTCGTCAGCTCCTTCATGTCTAGAACACACATGGGTGCTGGGCCCTCCATTTCCGACATAAGGCCCTCTGACAGCTCTGACGGGCGGTCAGATGAGTTCTTGGGACTGTTTATTTTAAAATAATCCCTACAACCCTACAAAATAGGTATTATCCTTACTCTATATATGAAAAAACGGAAGCCCAAAGATTAAGTAACTGGACCTCAAAGGCAGGCCTGATTCCAAAGCCCTGCTGTTCTCGGGCATGGTATCCTGCAGTCTGAGGGCTGAATGGCAGTTATCAGTCAAAATGGAGATGTGTTAATCAAATTTTTAAAAACGCTGGAGAAACACTGGTGGAGAGGGTCGCACGCTAATTAGCGGAACTCAGTTAAGCAAAGCCCCGGAGAGAAAACCTCGTGATGCAGAAGGGGACCGTGAGAGGGGCCAGGCTCCAGAACGCCAGAAAAGCCATCTTATCCAGCAGACAATTGAGAACGGAATAAATCCCCCTCTTTTATTATCACATGGAACATGTGGACGGTCTAAAAAGCAGCACCGATTAAAACCTTGAGGTTCCAGTTCCGCGTGTGGTCAGGCACTATTCCCCTCTAGATCCTGTTCCCTCCTTGTTATTTAAAAGGAGCAAAGTGTCTTCTCCTACAACGTAGACTCCCCTTACACCAAAATAAGGCTTGAGAAATGTCTGTAGAAAATAAAAATCAGATACTGAACAATGTCTGAATGTGTAATAACTACACTCTAGAATCAGTTGAGTCTCTGCCTCAGACTCTTTTGGTTTTAAAACAAATCACTTCCAGAGCCACGTTAAGAAATATATGTTTGTTTACCCAATGCCTTCCCCCCCCCCTCCCCCGCGCCACGCGGCATGCAGTGGAAGTGCAGTCTTAACCACTGGATCACCAGGGAAGTCGCCCAATTCCTTTTTTTACTGGTTGAATCAAAGGAGAGATTGACATCCCCTTTCCCCAAGTATTGATTTACCATGCCTACTGTATACTTCTTGAAAGTTGGCGTTTTGAAAAAGAGGCAGAATAGAAAAATATTGAAGGACATTTGATGTCATTGTGAAGAGCCACAAAATAACTTAATAAATGAAATATGTTTTCATATTCTAGTACTGGCTTAAACTTTACCGAGACTTGGACGTTTATTTACTTTTGTCCACGAACTCTTTCGGAAGCCAGTCCCCACCCCATCCCCCGGTCTGTGAAAGGGCTTCACACACGCTGTAGCCTTCCGAAGAAAGCGCACCAAGCGCTCGGAGGGGTTCCGCAGAGGGGAGCCCGCAGCCAACCACCCGCCGCCCACGTCCGAGAAGCCCACTCTGCTAGGTCAGGGAAACCGTGCCTAGGAGACAGCCAGCAGCCTGCAGTTTTGTTTCAACCACAAGTATAGGTTACACACCCTTCTTCAAGCCCTCCTCCCACCCCTAGTCACTCGGTTCGGCTAACCAGTGGCTATACTGCAAAATAATAATGGGAAAAAAATAAAAGAGATGCCTGCAACAGTTACCAGTAAGGATGGTGTGAAGGTACACAAAGTTTTGGTTGATCACTTCTCTTTGGTCTCGGTAACAGAGAAGAAAAAAAGGCTGACATCATGCTGATTTTACTGAGGAATGTAATAAAATAAATGGAAGGAAAAAAGAGAAAAATAGTAGAGACAAAGACTATTTCTACACCAAAATTCTGAAGTCATTTAAAAGAAGGGAAATATTCTACAACAGATGAAGAAAGTTTTAATTTCTTTTCACATTAAACATTGTTCACCACAGTCAGCTAAGAGAAATTATTGTAACATCGGTCAGGATGACATAAAACAAAGGATAGATATTTGTCATGAGAAAACCTCATGTAATGTGCATGATGATGTTAAATACTACATTTTTCATGATAAGATACAACTTATCTTGAAGAGGAACCAAATAAGTCAGATCAAGGAGACATGCTGAGGTTTTAATGAAGAAGAAAAGCTTTGCCTTTTCCAGAATACTTCAAGTCTAGGACAATTTAGGTAAAAGACGTGAGTTAAATACCAAGTGCTGGGCAGGGTCACAGGCCCGTAGCTCAGGTTTTATTTACAGGACTGGACCTGTGCGGCTCTCGCCTTTCAGCAAGCAAGCTGTTTGTGGCAGAGGGACCTTCAGTGGGATATGATCGATCAATTTTAACCGGCAGGCCGTCCAAGGAACTATCTTCAAAGGGATGGTTGAGTATTTTCACGTATACACTATTAAGGCATCTAAATTTTTGGTGTTTCCTGTATATAATTTTACTGCAATTTTCAAATTCTTCTTTTCATTTTGCACAACAATGATATTAGGTATTGAGAGACATAATTCTCTACTCATGAACCAGTTCATCCATTTTGCAAACTCTAAATTGAGGTCTTGTGAAGGGAAATTGATAACGTGGGAACACACAGAAAAATATATTGAAAACCAACAGAGAATACGGTTAACCATAAAATTTCAATCACAATTAAAGGTAGTCTTTAACTTTGGAGAAACAGAAGAATAATTAGAATTAAAATAGGTATTAAAAATAATTACCAGTAGTTTGTATTAGGAAAGAATACAGCCATAAATGGCTTAATTGCCCAGTTAAGTAACTACCAGATTCTTCTTTAGTCCACACTAACAGAATTCACATGTGAGCTGGTCAACAAAGCATATAAATATTCAACATCTCTTGAATAGAACATCTTAGTGATAACAGGGACTACATAATTCTACCCACTGTCGTGACTGTGCACAAATTAACCAGGTTAAATACCAGAGATACACTGGGATTCATCCCAAACCTAACAGTAGAATATTAAACAAATCTTTAAAAGATTCAGAAATAAAAATTTTAAAAACAATTTTAACATGGATGAGACAGTGCTTAAACAATTATCAACCTAAACAAGACCTTTAAAATTATCACCAAAATGCACTACAATATTTTTTTTTATTTAGTTTACAGAAAGAATCTATAAGTACAGGTTGCAGAAGGAAAATGTTTAGTGCTATTTACATTCATTTTAAAACTCTGCTCTATACAAATTTAATTCTGATCAGTATGAACAATATTTTCGTAGATCTACTGCATATAAAGCCTTTTCGTCAAAGCATTAACAATGAATAAAATAACCTGATTACCTTTAAACAAAGCTGACCGTTTGAAACGATTTACACTTACTATTTGTAAGGGCCGTGGACACTCATTTAAGTACAGAACATAACGTCAGCCTGCAACTTCATTTTTATAAAGGCTAAAGTTATTTATATGGAACATGGTTCTATATACTACACGCCAATCTATATTTAAGTTCTATAGTTAGGTATTTTATAAGTTTTTTATTAAATATATTCTACACGTATTTGTAATTTCATCCAGGAAGAATTTCTTCCCAGTGAAAAAATATAAAATCTTTTATATTTTTTTACAGGTTTAGATGAAACTAGCTCATGCTTTAGTGCTGTGCAAATCGTTTTTAGCATATCAATTTTTAAATTATTGGTACAAAACAAAAGAATGGCATCCCTAATCAAGTGTGCCCTGAAAATCAGCTTTTGACTTTAATACAATTGCAAGCACTAATACCCAATGCAAACTACATAAAGAAACAAAATTAGTCCTATGGAGAATTTTTTAATTTTAAGAATTCATCTGAGGTCTCTAATGAGTAACTGTGACACTGGACACAGAGATGAGCAATAATTATGGAAAAATTCAATTTGCTAATATTCAGATACACAAAATTGATGAATAAATGAGGTTTTCTAATATTTCTGCGCAATCACGGAGGTCTACGAGTGACTGGAATTTACCCCTGCATCAAGGCTAGGACGCGAGCTCTCACCCCTCTTGTGCTATGTGAACCAGCCCTCCGTCACCGTCTGACTAGAGTGCACATGTTAAAGGAAAAACAACTAGTTTCATCAGCCCTCTGCTGAGTACTTTCAACAAGAAGCCCGTTCTGTTTTTTCACTTGTTGCAGTGAGAACAGTCGCACTCAGTGTAAGGATTCTGTGCCAGTGCAGCCGCCATGGCTGACTTTGGTAGCATTCACCCAGCATTTCAGTTTCTTTTCCATTTTTTACTCTCATGTTAGCCCAGTAATTAACTTCATTAATTGCTGTGTCTTCCAGTGTGGATTGTATATATGAGTGTATTTCTAGGTACCATAAACCATGTTATAAATTCTGCTGATGAAGAAAATAACTGTCAATCTTTTTTAGTGCACACTGTATTTGGAACACTTGATTTTGTTAGTTCTGGTAATGAAAATTTTTGTGGCAGCAAAATCGTTTCTGCTATGAAAGATAACTTGTTAACTTTTCCCCTGGAGATTGACTTGCATTCAAAAATCAATACATTTTAAAACTGCTCAACATAAACAAAAATACTGGAAATAAAAAATCATAGTGAAAAATGTCCTTGGTTCTTTTTACTCTCATGAGAAAAGATGACAGTGTTCATGTGATAGTTCAGGTCCACGTATTTATAGGCAGACTCTTCCTAAAGGTTCTGAAGCGACGTTGGGTCTCCTCTGGCCCAGCAGCATGAAAGACAAAGACTACATCACACCACACTTGGCAGACAGTGTTTACAGGATCACACAGCAATTACTCTCTCCAGTCTTTTCGCGATTCCTCTGACCTAGGGAAGATAAAGAGAAGCCTTGTTTATAAAAATGCATGGCGGGGGTGGGGGGGGCTTCCCTGGTGGCGCAGTGGTTGAGAGTCCGCCTGCCGATGCAGGGGATGCGGGTTCGCAACGGGAGAGGCCACAACAGGGGGGGGCCCGCGTACCGCAAAAAAAAAAAAAAACATGGGGAAAGGGGCATAATAAGAAACAGCAAGCATAGTAAGAAACAGGATTTTTCTGCTTAATGTTTGCATTATTTTAAATTAAAAAGCTATAGTAAATACCCTTTTAATTTTAGCCTGTTTCCAAAATGTCTGGTTATTTGCTTACTAACAAGTTCCATTCATAAACTATGAATAGAGTTTCTGGTGGCTAGTTAGGTCTTAGCAATCATCCACAAAGTCACCTTCCCTCTCCACTGAGACCCAGCTCCAGGATGGATGGTAGCACCTCATCCTGCACTATCCTCCGAAAGCCTTCCCGGAAGCAGGCGGCTTCCACAGGGCAAGCAGATGGCTGG